CCATTCTTAGAAAACTTGAAGGTACTTTAACCCTTATGTAATTTTTCAAACACTAAGATAAATTTTTATCCATTTGTTAAACCATATGGTATTTAAGTATTTAACCCTTAAAACAAAAGTGTATTTAGACGGAAAAGGTTAATGCACTGCATTGATTTTTTTTTTAATATCATATTTATCCTTAAAGCTGAGTTTGGAAAGAGTACAAATGCAAATATATAGAGTGCAAAACTTTATATTTTGTATTATTTTTTACGTATTTACGCTGTACATATTTATATTTGTACTCTTTTCAAACTGAGCCTAATCAACTTTGTTCAATATATTAATAAAATGCCCCCAAAAGGAGAAAGTCATGACTCAAAACAGAGATGTTTACTTTAATACCTTCAACATCTCCTTACCCTAAAAGGCTAAAAGTAAGTCTCAATTTGGAATGAGTACAAATACAAACATATACAATGTAAGATTTTATATTTTGTATTATTGAGTTAGTTTATGATTATGACACCAAAAAACTAGAAAAACTTACAACTAATCAATGAGCGTCTAGATTTTCCTTATATTGTTGTGTATATATTTATATTGTACATATTTGTATTTATACTGTTTTCAAACCAAACCTTCAACAAAATACAATATTTTGCATTCTACATATTTGCATTATTCCAATGGGTAAGAAAAATAACATAAATCAAAACCGATTAGCAACACGCCCAAAATCTTTTGAACTTCTTTCATTTCAACATTTGGGTATTGGAGTTAATCTAATATATAATATATCAAGATGATCTCAAGACAACCCATCTTCTTGAGATGGGTGCCACCATCTTCTTGAGACAACCCATCTTCTTGAGATGGGTGCCACCATCTTCTTGAGACAACCCATCTTTTAGACCGGTGGTGCAACAAGGACATGACCTGCAACTTTCTTGGATTTGATTGGACAGATGCCACCATTGTTGGGTCTGACGGTCTGTTTGTACATACTGAACGTTCAAAAGGTGTCACTAGGCCTTGCTGGAGGGGTTGAAGCTGAAGCACTGTGTCTCAGTCTAAAAGTCTTGTCGCCACAAGCATCTGGAAAACTGAAAGCCAGATGATGAGAACGGTAGCAATTTTGAGGAGAACTTCTACGAAAACCCATATGCAAGGTTCAAAGTATCGATGCAGTTACCGGCGTATTGACCAGTATTGGCGTTTTTTTTATTTTTTTCAAATCTAGTTCAAAGGGGTCAGTTTAAGGCCCGATTCAGCTCAGTTTAGAAAGAGTACAAATATAAATACATAGAAAACAATACAAAATTACAAGGTTTTGCTCTTTACATATTTGTATTTATAGTTCAGTTTGAAAGTAGTACAAATACAAATATGTAAAGCACAAAACCTTATATTTTATATTATTTTGTGTCTTTGTACTGTAGATATTTGCATTTGAAATTCCAAAAAGAGAAAGGATAGGCCATATTCAATTCAGCCCTAAACAAAATGGCTCCCAAACCATTTAAGTGCTGTCCTTTACTCCTTATGTGAATTAAAGGTTTTCTAACGTGGCAGTTTCTGTTTGACGAATACCCGCATGTGTCTATTTTTATTTTCGTTCCACCATCCATTTGGGTTGGGAAGGGTGTAAATACAAATACATGCTGACATTTCATGAACCTTGCCTATTTATAGTTCTTTCTACTGTACATATTCGCATCTGTACTCTTTCCAAACGGAGCCTTGAGTTTAGAAAATGCAAGGCACACCGTTCTACTTCATGAAGGGGCAAAAGACCTTAGCGGCCGGGCCCATGGTTTGTGCAGCAGGAGGAAACCAAGTAAATCATTCTTAGTTGCATAATTTGAGGGCAAAACGTATCCTGCATGTACTCACTTTCACTTAAAATTCCTCTCTCCACTTCTAGACATCCAGAAATAAAAGGATCAATAATTTTGGCAAATTCAATTGCAGATTTCACACCAAAAACTATATACACACATAGTTTTTAAAGCCTGGTCCTTCTTTGTAGATAGGCCAGTATCTAAAGTAGACCAAATACATGAAGCCATCTGATGGTATATGACTAAGCCGCAACATAAGACAATATTTGGGGAGTGAAGACATACATCTTACAATCATGAGAATCGACTCGAGTGCTGAATGATGTCAGTGCGACTTCTGCTACATCTTCATGCTGGCAAATGAATATATACATGATGAGTATGAAATTTATTAAAAAAGCACAATCATTGAGCTTTTTAGATTTAAAAAGAATTTATATCAAGGCTGAAAGTTGTATGCATGGCAATGGTCCAGCCTCATCTGACCACCTACAAGGGTTACATGGGTTCTGAACAGAAGATATCTCTGGCCAAAGCCACAAGTACAGACTCTTATCACTGATATGCTGCAGGGTTGTTTAATCTTGTTTTTTGTCCTGGTAGATATGCAAACTGAACTTTTTCATGATGAGTTCATCCAGTTCCCTGTCCAACATATTTCCCTTTTTCTTATATTTTACTGTGGGCAATGGGGTTGAATCATAAATCCCATATAAACTTGTATAACTATATAAACGTGCATACAACATTTCTTCCTGTGTCCCTGTAATGTGACCATGAATGTAGGTAATACTTAAAACTATTAATTCGTTTGTGTAAAATTTCTTTACATGCCATCTCACCTTCCATATATCTCTTACAGAAACTTTGATGGTTGGATGGAGGCCCAAAACTTCCCATTTGGCTGTGATGGTAACAGCTTTTGAACAGCGGTTCCAAAAGGCAACTACCAACCTGTTTCCAGAAAGAGGACCTGCCCAAACCTACAACCAGAGGACTATTTCTGAGTCATGACATATGGCATAAAAAAGATCTCTGATACAAGCTGAAAGAATGTCTGAATGTTAATGTTGCATGAAGACATCATATCTTTGTTGGACTCTCGAGTTGGCATGCACCCCCGAGTATACTCATGTCAGACTACCCAAATCAGGAGTTAGACTCCTTAATGGTACCAGTAGGAAGGTTTGCCCACCGAGTTGTTATATACTCAAATAGGACTTTAACTCTAAAAGCTTTTAACTGCTTACTAGTTACTACTAATCCTACTAAAGCCAAACAATTGAAAAACAACTCCAATATTGACCCAAAGAAATAGGAAACCCAAATCCTCTCCTAGACAAACACCCTATCATTAAATGAACCATTGCTCACTCAAAAACTATTTAATAAGACTTTAAACTATTTTTTTATTGGTAAACTCTATAAACTAAAGTTGACTCTTAAAATGACCAAATGTATTCTTACCAATAAAAAATGATTAGATATATTCTTAAAACACCAAGAAACTATAAAATAACCATTAGAAGACTCAAATTGGCCAAAATTATAAGCACCCACAAATTGCCACTTGATAAGGAATAGGGAGAAAACTGATTTCTTCCTCCATTGATTGTTCCTCTGTTTCCATGTCTGCATCAAGTTTTCACCTTACCATTTTTGTGAATGGAAGGTTAACAAGATGCTCTTTAAGGATGTTGCAAAATTTAACAATTTGATAATGTCAATAACAGGCAAATTCCTACCATACTATGAAAATAAACACTTTTGATTTGGTAATAAAAAGAAAATGATTTTTATTACATAAAATAGGTAAAAATGTATGATTGGTCTCAGATTTGATAAATCTGACAGAAATATGATTTATTAGAGACTTAACTATGTTATTTGTGGTTTTGTTGTAAGCTTTGGAAGTATTACCACTAGGTCATAAAATTAAGAAATGGGAGGGATGGACCTGTCGGCAGTTGTCCTTTCCTTCAGCGTATACCTTCCGTCCTTGAACCCCAAGCGAGTCTGCAAGGAAACAAAAATTGAATTCTTGATCAACTGTACTTGCAGTGCATGCTGGAACATTTAACATAAATAAAAGAAGATGGTTGCATATTGCACCTTGAGAATATGCCATAAAAGAAGACAACCAACCAAGATAATGGAGATAAGAAAAACCCATTATTCAGGTGAAGCAAGCAGGTGTGCACAAACACAAAAACCATTGCTTATACATAATAACAATAACACATTACATTTGACAATAGAGTACCTTGATTTACAGCAATGACCTCCTTATTGCTTAGAATCTCCAATGTTTCTGCAGTCATGTTTCTTACATCGCAACCTATCAAAAGAGGTGCCTGTACACTCAAATAGTTTCTAAAGATTGTTACATTCTGTGCAGAACCCCACCTACCCATGTTCAATGCAGCCACAATTAAACATAGTGGTACTTAGACTGTAAATTAATAGAGATTAGTTTTATGTTTAATCTGAGAGACCAACATTGAAGGTCATAGTTTCAACTGTCAAATTTAGCCTTTTGCTATCCAATTCTATTATGAAAGACTGATACTACCAAAATGGCTGAGTTATATCTACTTGGGATACTCTTGAGAAGATCATTAAAGCAAAATGGATAGCTTCATTAATGCCCAGATACTCTCAAGTAATTTTCCAAATAAAAGATGTAAACCGCAAGAGTTGAAGGAGAGCACCTTCATTAATGCCCAGATACTGAAATGTGCACGATACTCCTGGAAAGTCATGCCTCCATTGCCAACTTCTAACATATCTGGGTCTGGTCCAAAAAGGCATAGGATGTATTAGGGAGCTGATAAGAAAAGAAGACATCCACCAGAACTCATAGAATTGACACTTGTAATATGAATATTTCTATTACCATTCCATCCACCAGGTCCAGCATATGTAGCCCACTTGTCATTAAGATCAGCAGTAGTGGTCATACTTGCCAGTATAAAAACATTGAAATATGATCAGTATGACAAAAAAATCAAGTTAATTAAATAATGACATGATACCCAAATAAATACTTCTGAGATTTATGAAATTCTAGATTTCTTTTTAATTCCCCAATTTTGACTGTTCTTGTTCTAAGTTTTCTCCACTCTTTTTTCAGGGAGGGGAAACACTCAAATATTCAACTCCAGCTTCATCTGTAGGTCCTCTTCCATTTGGACTTTTAATTTGGCATGCCATGTACTTAAGTTTTCTCACAGAAGATTAGAATGAAATGATGCCAAAGATCTAATACATTATATCCTTCTAGAAGGAAACTTATAGTCATGTTAGACAAGATATTGCATGTTATCAGAAACAACAGCCACTGTAATCAGGACTTTTATGCATGAGGTTACTGCCAATGTGAACCATCAACCATTGATTGGAAAGAGGGCTACATTTTCATGTGGTAACCATGTAAACATAGATCCCAAATTTCTAACCTTGCCCATGAGTCATTGATGTCATCAGTTGTTCGCCAACTATTTCCAACTCCACCTGCCCATAAGGCAGGGTCATCAACGCCCCTACATAGAATGAAAACATAAAAACTCTTAAGATCCACTGAACAACTTTGAACTGTAAAAAATAAATAAATAATCTTAATTACCATTCACAGAGCGAGTAGAAAATTGTGTGACCAGTTGCATTTAGAGCTTCATGCATTGGTGGATATCTGGAAATTATGAATGCAAACTGAATCAATTTCAGGACAACTTATTGTTTCTAGAAATTTTATTTAAAGATAGCCAAGGTGAGGGCAAACCGTTCCTCTGGTATGATCCCTAGATTGTAACAGTTGTCATACTTCAAATAGTCCACATCCTGATTGACATAAGTGCCAAATATAAATTGGAAAAAAGAAGTGATGTAAATGAAGAAGAATTTAATAAACTGATATCTGAGATTTTCATCTAAGATTATATGATTTGATTGAAAATTTAGACTTTCCATTCCAAATATTTACTTTGTACATAGATAAATATAAGTTCCATTTCCTATTTTTGAAAAATACAAGAACTCTTACCCAAGATGCAAATAGTTCCGCATCAGCCCTTTCGTGGAAAAGGGATCCAGGACGAACTTGACAAGTAAAGGCCCTATCAGATTGAAGTGGTAATAGAATCCAAGAATGAATTACAATGATCAATTCATATTATTATTGGGATATTCACTTGATATAAGGCTCTAACCCAAAAATATGAGACTTGTCTTACCCAGCATCAGAATAAATACCAAGCTTGAGGCCCTTCTCATGTATATAATCAGCAAGAGCTTTAATACCTGATGGAAAGGTTTCTGGATCAGGAGCCAAATTTCCCTGCACAAATAAATACTTATCATGAGAAACTCTGAAAGAAAATAATAGAAAAAAGTTCTTTGTTTCTTCCATAAGCAGCAAAAGGACTTCCCTTGGAAGATTTGTGTTGTAGGGAGCATAACAGTAAAAATAGAATTCTTAGTGAAGTTGTTCTGTTAGAAAGTGGGGTGGGGTTTTTCCTTTTTTTTTTTTCTTGCCATTTTTTCCTTTTTTCGGAGAGGGATACGGCAAGAACCAGAACTACATTGTGTAAGTTACCAACATAATACCTTATTATGTTTCCACTTTAACCTGTTTTTTTTTTTTTTTTTTTTTTATGATGAAGTATAATTATACCTCTTCTTGCGTGTTTAAGCTAAAAATCTTTGGTGCAGAAAGATGGTTAGATTCCCAATCCACCCTACATTCAAGGGGTAAATTTCTGCCCTAAAATCCTTGCCATGTGCTCAGAATGAACTCCTTTTTTGTAGATACTTGTTAAGCTAAGAAATTAAAACTTTCAAATGCTAATATAACTTGAATAAAGTTCTACTAAAAGGTGGACAAAAAGTTTCTTCTGGTGGAAGATAAATTTTCCACATTGGCCCTCAATGTTGTAAAAAAAAATGTAGCTTTGTAACCTTTTCTACATATATACAGTAAAGTATAACCCTAGCTTTTTCATTTGAAAAAATGAAAATAATAAAAAAAGATAATTAAGTAAAGGCAACCTTATTTGAACTGTTTTAAATTGAAAACACGCTCTTCTCTTAGAGCATAAATTCATAATCTATCATCATTTATCCAATTACTAAGACTTGTTCAAAAATAATGTGAAAATAAAAGGCTTTGACTTAACCTGCAGATTTCTTGTAGGAGAAGACCAACAATCATCTGCCACCAGAGATTATGAATCAGTATAAGACAAACAAGAGATGAAATTGTATTGACTGGAGCAAATTGGTAATAAAAAGAATTACCTATATTGACATAAATATAACCTAATTCAGCCAAACCGGTATAGATGAGTGCATCAGCTGCCAGAAGGACAAAAAACATTGAAATTGTGATGGAACTTGATCAAATAACAAGAGGGCCAGAGGGGGCAGCAGAAAAAATAATCAATTATGTGATCGATACTCAAATATTGTTTTTTTAAGATTCATAAGTTGAATAGCCATCATATACTATGAATTCCGATTAATTTTTGAATTTTTAAGTCTAAAACAGTCATCACTGATCAATTGCCATTAAGAATGTATTTTCACATGGTAATCTTGACCAGGATTACATGGAATGTTCTGCTTATTGGTTAGGTAAAGTTAGTCCTGTTTTGTGGTCACAAAAAGATTATTATTGGTTCAAAACAACACACTAACTCTTAGATTATTAATAAGTTTACTGATATTCTTTTGGTATATGGGTTTAACATGGTTTATTACGATCCTTTGGTGTTTACTTGCCAATTATAGGTTAGTGTATTTGCAATAAATTTGGATGACATAATAATCACACTGGGTGACCATGAGGGATGACGAGTGTTATGAGCTTTTTTCTGTAAGTATGCTGGTATCTAACTTTTTTGACACTATGGATCCTAATGTGAAGATTGACACAACAAGATGATTTCTTGTTGAGAAGTAATTGTAATACACCAAGACTTTTTTTTCTCTCTTTTTTTTTTTTTTTTGTAATAGCAATTGTAAGTCAGTTTATACTTTATACATATCTTTTTGATTGGTAAGTCGGTTTGTAAATCTTCCTTGTTAGTTGCACTGGATGCAATGTGTAGCATCATTAGGTACTTAACAAAGAATTCTAGGAAAAGGACTTTGTTACAAGACATCTAGTCAGTTATGTGCCATCATGGTTGTGAAGGCATCTAGGTGATTCTGGGCTACACTGCAGAAACTACTTGCCAAGTGTAGAATTTTACAAAGAAAAAACTAAGTTCTAGGTTAGTTCTATAGTTTACATACCAATCAACATGCAAATAAATTGCAAAATAGCAATCCCCTTTACTAATAACATTAATTTTCCTTTCAAAGCACAATGAACCATTGAATCTAGAAGACAATAACATTTTAAATCAGCCAATCTTAATATTTTAAACACAGAATTATAACACAATAAGTATTTAATAGAGCAAGTGTACGTCAAAAAATTATTAGCAACTAAAGAAGGCTATAGTTTTATAATAAAAGTTTTCAACAGAAAGAGTAACACAAAGGGAAAAAGAACAAGGGGCAGAACCCTTTTTCTACTTGGGTGGCATTTAGTAACTATGAACCCCAATCTCTGAAGGAAAAGAAGTCTGAGAACAGTTTGAGCTTTGAGCAGTAAAAATTAACTTTTCTGCTTTCTAGATCTCTGAAGGAAAAGAAGTTGTTTGGTAATTTGAATGTTGTAACCTTTGAGAAATGTCTATTCACAATTTTACCCCTGTAGATAAACTTGTTTGGTTATTTTGAATTTGTTAACCATTGAGAAATGTCTATGATAAATAATTTATTTAATTAATGTATTGTTTTCAATTTTTTTAATTAATTAATATTTTGTTATGTTTTAGCATTTTAAATAAATTTTAACAATTTTAAATGCCTTTGTTATTATTTTACAATTATTTAATATCTACCACTTTTTGAGTAATCTATTTTACATATTTTTAAAATTAGTAATTATTGTATTATCTTCAAATATTATTTTATAAATTATAGATTATTAATGATTTTAACATTTTTTCTTTTTTAAATAAATTTTAATAAATTCAAATTCCCTTGTTTTTATATTACAATTATTAAATATTGCTTTTCTAGTAATGCATTTTACGTGTTTCTAAAATTATTTATTATTAAATATGTAATACATTTTTTTAATTATTATTTAATAAAGGATACATTTATGAATATTTTTAACAAATTTTCATTATTTTAAATAAATTTTAATAATTATTATGTACCTCCTTATTATTTTATAATTATTAAATATGTGTTAAATATTTGTATGATTGTTTTATTATAAATTTATTAATTTGCAATTATTATTTGTAAAATATAGATTTATTAATAATTTAGCATTTTATTACTTTAAATAGATTTTAAAACATGATGGATTTTGGAATAGAAATTTTATGTTTCGTTAGGGGTAAAAGTATCCAAAAGGTAATAACCACACCTGTGACCGCATAGAGGTGGGGTGACAGGGGAAATGAAATTATTGGGTGTTCAGCGTTCAGAGGTTGGTTTAGAGGTCTATGCATTGCGAAGGCCCCCCTTAATGCCTGTGTATGTGTGTGTGGGAGAGAGAGAAACTGTAGAAAAAGAAAACTCAACCATTCTCTTCTTTCTCTTTCCTTGTTGACGAGAAAACACAATAAGACACTTGTGGTCTTTATTTGTTATTGCCTAGCAGAGCCCAGTCGCCTAAACTAATTCTCATATAAGCCATAGAGTTCAGGGCCTTCAGGCGAGGCGTCCAACCAATACTCAAAGGCAATAAAGCATAATCTGATAGTGCGTACAAATTATGAAGAGGCATTATTTTCTGATTTACAAGCAACTAAGATATATATACTGCATGTACAGGCACCGCGGTCACCTGGAGGAAACTGTTGCCTAAGCGCCCAAGTGACCAGACAAAAACTAAGGCCACTATCATTCTGCAAATTTCCCAGATACTGAAATAAGAGCTTAAGAAGTTAAGAACCAAGTAAAGGGAAACATAGAAGAAGGCAGATATCAGACCTGTTTCCTTAATAACAGTTTCATTGATATTACAGGCAAAGAAATTCCAGCTATTCCATCTGCACCCACATAAAAGTAACAATTTAACTAAAATGGAAGAAAACAAAAACAGCAAAAACGAAAGCATCTGAGACAAAAGCAGTATTACAAAATTTATGCCCATGAATTGCATGGCATTCTAGTAGTAACAGTTTGAAATTAAGAAGCCAATTGCTCTAAAAGAAATTAAAAGAAAGAGAAACGTATTTATTTATTTTTCGGTAAACTATTTATTTATTTCTGGATTCCAACTACTGTCCAAGAAAATACTAAACCCCGAAAATTGCAACATATTAGGTGTTGCGAAAACACAAATTGAGAAATTTTTCTTCACCTAAAATCAGAAGAAAGGTCCCAGAAGGGGTGGGAAAAAAAGGAAAAAAAAAAACAGAACAACAGGGAGAAGAAAAGGGTTACCCCATCTGAGGCGTTCGAGCCAATCCGTTGTTGAGCTGCAGTTTTCCATAATTAGAAGTATCGTAGAGGTTAGCTCTCAAAGTGGGTATTTCATAATTTTCGAGGAGAGGTGCCACCCGAATAGCGATGGTGATAGAAATTGCAGAAAACGAGAGGATCAGAAGAGAAATGTAGACGATGTTATTCGCCATGCTCCTTGTCCTCCTACAGTCCTACTTCACTTGTCAAAATAGCAGAAGCAGAGGGAATGAGAGTATCTGATGGAAAGAAAGAAAACAAACGGACGCGGGGCCGGGACTCAGCGGTCTGATACAGGGTTCATCCAATTGGTACAACTCCTCTTCATCAACTGCCTGTGTATTTAACTATTTATAGGTATAAAAATGAAGTGGGCTTGGCGTCAGGGGTCCCTCTCCCTGGCCTTGTTTCTAACATCTTAGCCATTCACACATTCCTAGGGACTTGTGTTGTGTTGTGGCTTGTGAAAGCTAAGGAGGAATATCCTGATCGCTTAGATGCAAGGGAGAAGGGACCCCACCAAAAAACCATGGTCCAAGGCTCCAAGCATTACTTATTTCTATTCTCTACTGGAGATCGGATCTGCTCCTCCCACCTGGAAACATCTCCCCTATTTTTAGTCATCATTCACGGGAGGTGTTCTCAATACACGGTAGATGTACCTATGAGAAGCCCATTTGTGAGGAGCAGATTTCGTCATTGGGAGGTTACTAGGTTATATGGGTTATAGGGGAGAGGGGTTATGCAAATTGGGATATGTTCCTCTTATGAGCGAACCTCATACCGATCTCACAGGTACATCCCACCGTATATTAGGAGCATCACCCATCAATAATAATAACAAGGGAGAATGATCGTTCAGCCCAAGGTCAAAATTCATAGGCCTAAAGTACAGTTAGGGTGGATGCCAGCTTAGAATTGATACTAATTCGTGGGTGAATATAGGATGTGGGTTTTTGAACTTTTGAATATTTATAAAGTTGCGGCAGAAATCAAAATTCTGCAGTAGTCCTGTCTGTACTTTTCCGTAATAACAAAGTATGGGAAATGTTCATATACATGGTGAGATGTGTCTATGAGATTAGTGTAAGGAGCAGATTTGGTCTCCCGTAATTTTACCACCACTAAGGTCCTATTGGTTTTCATTTAGGCTGCGTTTGGAAAAGGTGTAAAACCTCATTAGTGTAAAACTTCATCATCAGTTTAGTTTTGTCGATGTTTATTTGGAGTGTAAATCAATATCGATGTAAAATTTTATTCCGGTTCAAATTTATAAACATTTGGATGGAGTGGAGTTTTACATCGTAAATCAATGGATGTAAAAACATCACTTATGATGAGATTTTACATAGATAATCGATGTAAAAACTATATTGATAAACACGTTTAATAAATCATCATAGAAAAAAATATATTGATGATGTTTTACACTGCTTCTAAACGCAGTCTTTTTTACATAAATAGGATCCCAAATAAGGGCCACTACTTTTTATATGAAGAATACAACTTGACATCATAAAATAATTTTGATATTTACACAACTTTTTTTCAAAGGCAATGATACATAGACCGGACAAATCATCCAATGTACTAACTTTACTACTTGTTCAAGTAATTCAGGTTTCGACATTCTTGTACATTACACATAATTCAGGTAAAGAAAGAGGACCTTGTAGAAGGGTATGAATCGGGATTTGTTCCTCATAGAACGCAATTCATACTTAACTTATAACTCCATCCCACCGTGCATTGGGAGCATCTCCCTATAGCGATGAATAACAATACAAAGTATGGGAGATGCTCTCAATGTACGGCTGAAATGCATTGTGAGGTTGGTCATTGGTGTGAAGAATATATCCGGACTCATTAATTATCTATATAAAGATATGGTATGAAAAAAGTTTTTTTTTTTTCTCAATAAAAGGATCCATTAAAAACATCATGGATACATTTGAATCCCCATTTTACAATCATCTAAAAAACATGCAAGTAAATACATAGGGGGATGAGTACTATTTACATAAGTATTTTTAAGCCTAGCTCTCTTTGCAAGTTCATGAGCTAGCTTAACTACTTCCCTGTTTACATAGAGCAATTTTACATTTTTAAAAAGTAATAATAATTCAAGAATATGGTCATACAGTGCTTGCAAATCCTAGGTGATGTTTTTTCCAGTTCCTCCTATCTTCAAAAAAACTTCTTTTGCATCTGATAGTAAAAAAACATACTTTGTAACCCATACAAAAAAAATTACATAAGCCTCTTACTATTGCCCAGAGCTCAACTGTTGTTGGTGATTTTGCCATGCATGGTTGTCCTTCTGCAATGAGAAGAGGAGATCTGTGTGAGAACATACAAAGTCTAGTTGATGCCTTATGTGTTGTAATGCTCCATGAATTTTGATAAATAACAACTGATTCACTACCAGATTTATGATTCCAGTTTATTGGTCACTTGTTTTTTGGGTATCATATCTTTTTTATATATCATAGTCATACCCTAACTTAGTATAACACCTAATATAATGATATACAATTATTGATATAGCGTGATATGGTAGCTCCTTCTTAGAGGACAGCTTAGACGTTGAGCTAGTGATGCCGCCTACTCGAATTGTAAAACAAGGCTGTCAAAGTGTCTGGGGTGCTTTATTCAATGTGGGTACTCTGATGCTTAAATTAGCGACGTAGAGATTTGAGAGAGTTGAAAGCTTAATTGTAAGGGAATTTGAGAACTAAATCGTGCATACTTTGTGAGGTTGGAGACGAGGCCTTTATATAGGTGAGTTGTCGTAGGTCTCATGATGCATGTCTGAGATCATTGGCCCACCTAGTTCGGAATTGGTTTTGCATCCGAAGATGGACTTCGTATAAACTGATAAAGTTTATCCAATTCCATACAAATCAGGCAGGAAGAAGATAAAATCCGTTGATATATGACATGATCGCAAAGAGATCAGAAACAGTTGACTTATTTCTAAAAAGAAGTTATGTAACACCTTAGCAGATCGGTGCATGTAACTGAATTACCCAAATTTCAGTGTAATTAGATTAACTGAGGTGATTGGGATCATTAAGATATAACCACATCATTCTGTTCCTTCATATGTAATCACATCATTGATCAGCCTAAATTATCCCTCATCAATTATAAAATCAACTATCCATTTGACCAAATTAACGCCCGCTAAATATCGTGCCAAGGGGGAGTAAAGGTGAGACAATGCACAGAGCATGGTGCACGAGAAGGACATGGCAGTACCACACCACCCATAAAACCTAACAATACTGCGGGATCCTTCGTTCTGAGTTTTGCATTTTCGCCATGGAACAATGTTCGAGGCACTTCATCTTTTTGACTCACAAGTGATAATATTAGACTGGGATAAAGTAAAATATCAAAAAGAAAAAAAAATAAATGAAATGTATAATTATCGATTCTGTCGCTACTTGATCACGTGAGGTGGACAGGTGGTCCGATCTAATGGCCTGCAATTATTAAAAGTTAAAAAGAAGAAGAAAAGAATAACAAATAGGCAGGACCCACTTGAAAACTTATCTGCCATGAGATATGATCGATCAAAACATGTACCGACCAATAAGCTCTGATTGGTTCTTCACAAAAAAAAAAAAAGGAGCTCTGGTTGGCTACCGAAAATAATACAGCCAGTTGATGAGATAACCAATTTGATTTTTCTTTCTTTTTTTAATTCTTTTTATCATTTTTTAAGCTCTGAAAACCGTGGATCATCAATAATTGATAAAAGAAGAACAGTGATGAAATCTGATTTTCTTCACACGAAATTGATCCTTACACCTCATCTCATAACACTTACAATCGTACATTCAAAAGGTGAAATCAACAATAAGATTCCACACAGACCCATGTCTTTTACAACCTCATCATTGTTTCCGTAGAACAGCTAAAACATTCAGCCAGAGCAATTATATCATTGTCCCAATGTTTTCAATCTCCGCATTCATCAGAATGGTTGAAGTGTTGAACTGTTTAAACCATCATCCGGTTTTATTTTCAGATTAAATTTTCTTAAAATCCAAAATAACAAAAAATTCATCATTTGACCTGTAAAATGGGTCCAATAAGAGGTTTGTGCCTATAGCATTAGAAAAAACAAAAAGGTAAAATACAAAAACCTCTTCTAAGTTTTCTGATAATCATATAAACCTCTCTTATGTTTTAATCGTGAAAAAAAAAAACACTCTTCTGTTGTTTTAAAAAAATATGTATACAGTTACCTTCCTTTTTAAACGGAAGTGTTATTTTTTGGCTCCAAAATGCATTTATTTTTAAAATGCCTCATTTACCCTTAACAAGTTTTGTTTTAATGCTAAAATACAAAGCAATATTCATCATCTTCAACCTTTGAACCTGCAACAAGTGAGGCGCATCTAGTGATTGAAAACACTCTCTAGGAATAATAGTTGAGTAATGACATTGAACGTAACTGCTCAACCATCGGAAACAACTCAAGTGTGGTTGATTCGGACTCTCTAGCTCGTTCACAGCATACTAACGGTTGTGATTCACTTTGTTACAGGCTTGACGTAATCTGACCTATTTTGGCCAACCCAAAATCTGAAACCTTGGTCTTGAAATAATCATCCAGTAGAATGTCACTAGATTTGGAATTCTGATGGGTGACAGCTGAGATCGGCTTCACAGCCCGTTCGAACGCCGTTGTTCGAAAAATCTTGCTTCGGGAACATCTCCATACTTCCATGTTTTATTTTATGAAGAGATATCCCCAATGTAATGTAAAACTATAATGGCTGCTCTAACAAACTTTGCACTGACTGTGCACTGATTACAGATGGGGCTGCATGCTCATGGAGGAACTTAAGAGCAGTGAACTCAAACTCAACCCCGATTGGATGACTAATGATTAATTGACTGCTTGTTTCAATTACAAACTTACATGTTTCAATTACAAATTTACAATAGAGAGAGGGAGGGGAAAAAGTGCAGATCCAACGCCTTCAAGGCTTCAGACCAATAGTAAAGCATGGGTTCCATTATCAATTATGACTAGTGAATGACTCCTGTATTAAGCATGAGGTCACTGAACTCAATTATTTCTGTTTTTTATTTAAAATTAATAATCAATTTTGAAAGTTTGATTATAAAGGTTAATTATGAACCCCATTTCATTTGGATAAAATATTATTTGAACATTTTGTATAAGAATTGATTTAAAAAATATAATAAATTAAAGGCAGAACACAAAATAGGGCTAGTATTCTGATTAATTTTGCTTGATACCCATTATTTATGTTGTAAATTTAGTTTATTTTTTATTTGATATTTTTGGATATATAGATT